CAGGGACAAGACAAGGTGGCCACGCTTCAGCATCGTCCTGGAGGGGAGAGCCCGGGCAAGGAGCAAGAAAGAGAAACAAATGACAGTGGGAACTGGAGGGAAATTGTCTTTATTCACACCTGACATGATTGCACAGAAATCTGCCGGGAGCTACCAGCCCCCGCCCTCCAAACCTAGGCGGAGGAGTCACGATGTTAGCAGGTGTGCAGGAAATAAGATCAATCAGCATCAAAAATGTAAAAATACCGTTTACAATCTGAGACAGAGAAGAAGAAATCGGACAGTAGATGTGAAAAACCTGCACAGTGAAAAGGATAGAACGTTGAGGAGAGAAGCAGAGAGATGTACCATGTTCATGGGATGGAAGACTGGATTTGGTTAAGGGGACAATTTTCCTTAACTTGACCTATAGATTCAACACAATCCAGTTAAAATCTCAATGGGCTTTTTTGGGGTGGACTGACAAACACATTCTAGAACTCATACGAAAACACCAAGGGCCAAATTGGCCAAAACAGAAGAGAATGGAGTGGGAGGACTAAGATGACCTGAGCTCAAGGACTTATTATAAAGCTTCAGCAAGCGACACAGGCAGAATTTGTGTTGGGATAAACCAGTATCTCAACGGAGCAGAACAGAGAGTCCAAAAAATCCCCTCTTCCGGATCCAGGACCTCGGCACGGAGGAGAACTGGCTGCGTGATAGCGCGGCGGGAGGAAGGCTGGCTGCCTGTGTAGCAGGCTCTATATGTGGCAGGTATATAATTAGATTTCTCCTTCGCCCCAAACGGAACAGTATGCTCCAGATGGGCTAAATTTAACTGTGCAAGAACGACATGCGACAGCCCTTTTTTTGTGACTCAGGAGGTAGAGAGGGATTTATCCTACAGGCAGCCTATTTAAAGGGGGACGATGGACAAATTCCCCTCCATCCAAACTAGTGACTCTGCAGGAGAGGAAGAACCATAAGCCACGTTAAGGGAAAAGCAACAAATCGGAAGAGGATGTTGGCAGCACACGTCAGCAGACAGAGGCCAGGTAGCAAAATGATGGAAGGAGCTCCAGGAGATCAAGACAGAAAAAGCCAGACCGCCCAATGGGCAAAGGGACCAACAGGCAATTCGCAGAAGCGGGACCACCAATGGCCTAACAGGAAGATCGTCGGCCGCACTGTCACCCGAGACGCCAATCAAACAAACATCCTTGGGCAGCTCTCTCCCGCCCACTCACCAACAGAGCCAGCGCCAGGCATCACTCCGAATGTGACACACGTCGTAGGTGTGCACACATTTCTTGAGTTGGCAACACGTAGGAAGGTAACTATCGGCGTACACGTACCTCCTCCGCCCAGGTGTCCATCCTCGGAAACCGCCCACGGGGATATGAGGAATGAGGAACGAGGAACGAGGAAAAGGGACGTGGCTGCAGTAGTGTTTGAGAGCTCAGGAGGCTGACAACAGTGTCAATGCCCATCCCGGGGGGAGCAATAACCATCACTGTAGTCACGGTGAGCCTGCCCACCTAGGGGGAAAGTGTTAATGTGCAGAATGTGCCCATTTCTTTCCTTTTAAACATGTATTTTTTATTGATTTCAGAGGGGAAGGAAGAGGGAGAGAGAGAAGCACCAAGGATGAGAGAGAGTCACTGATCGGCTGCCTCCTGCACGCCCCACACTGGGGGTGGAGCCTGGAATCAGGGCATGTGGCCTGACGGGGAATCGAACTGTGACGTCCTGGTTCACATTCGTACCAGCCAGTATGGGTGACTCTACAGGCTTTGGACTCACAGACCTGGGGATCCCCCTGCTAGCTGGCAGCGTGGGAAAAGTGAATGGGCGCCTTTTTTTCACGTCTGAGTGCCGAAGGGCAGCGGTCGGCAAACTGCAGCTCGCCAGCCACACTCGGCTTTTGAGCCATGGTGTGCCGCTCTGTCGACTAAAGAGTTTGCCGACCGCTGACCTAGACTCTCGATTCCAATAATTACAGGCTGTTGTTCCTTGGGATTAAGCCCCTATCCCAGTGGTCGGCAAACTCATTAGTCATCAGAGTGGCAAAGAGTGACTCGAAAGCCGTGTGTGGCTTGGGAGCCGCAGTTTGCAGACCGCTGCTGTAGAGAATCCTATGTAATAAAAGGGTGATATGCAAGTGGACCTAATGGTGGAACCACCGGCCGCTATGATGCACACTGACCACCAGGGGCAGATGCTCAGTGCAGGAGCTGCCCCTGGCGGTCAGTGCGCTCCCTCAGGGGGAGCGGGTCTGAGCTGTCAGTCCGCCATCACCAGAGGGCTCCCAGACTGCTAACGGGGACAGGCCGGGCTGAGGCCTCCCAGCTCTGAGTGCGTGAACGTTGTGCACCGGGGGCCTCTAGTTATTGCATAAAATATTCGCAGCCTCCCCCGGCTCCACGTACCTCCTCCTCCCAGGTGTCCATCCTCGGAGGACTGCACTTGTGTGCTCTGTGGAGCTCCATTGAGGCCATGTGACCAGTCATGTCCCTCCCCGCCCTGCAGAACTCATGAGCGGTCACTGTGACTGACTTGGGCCAGTGGAGCTGTGAGAGTGAGCTCATGGCCCCGTCTTTCTCTTTTGCCTCTGCCATGAGCCGGGCAATGTCCACATCAGGGGCTGCTCCATCAGCCTGGTTCCCAGAGTCAAGAAGACAAGGATCGGAGCTGCAGCCAACTCGGCAAGGGCACGCAGCACGAGTGGAGGCAGATGCTGCGGGCCGCTCCCCCCTCTTTGCAGGGTCGGCCACGGCTGCGCTGCCACCCAGGCCGGCCCTCTGGCTGAGGCAGAGTCCCCGTGCTCGCGGACAGATTACCATAACCCACGTGGAGTGCGCAGCTACCTCCCGGCGGATGGGGGCGCAGCAGTCAGCACAGGGGAGGTCATGCTGCAGTAACAAACAAGCCACACATCTTAGTGACCGGACATATCACACGCTTGTTTCCTGCTCACCCTACACATTGTGTAGGGGCCCCTGTTCCTGCAGGCGTTCAGGGTCCCCAGATGACACAGGACCTGTCTCCATAGGTACTTCTCCAAGTACCCTAAGTCTAGAAGAAGAAGAAGAAGAAGAAAAAAAAAGAATCTGAGAAACCACATTCATGCTCTCAAAGCTCCCACTCAGAAGGACACCCGTCCCTCCCCACATTCACCAGCCACAGCAAGTCGCATGACTGCGCCGAATCCTAAGCGGGACGGGAAGCGCACATCGGCCCGGTGTGCAGGAGACAGGAGGGAGGAGAGGGAGCTCAGCACGGAGCCCGCCCTGTGGCCCGCCAGCCGATCGATGCCGTTAGCTGCTGCCGAAGTCACTGCGGCCACGACAGTGAGGCTGGCCCAGGGGGAGAAGCTGGCCGGGGCAGGTGCAGACAGTCTTAGAGGGGCTGCCTGCCTCGGGAAACCGGGAATGTTCAGGGAAGAAGGGTGGTGCTCCGGGGATGGTGGGAGGGGCGGGAGGGTGGGGTGGGGCCATCCCGGGAGACCTTCAGGCTCCAGCCTGTGGCTGCCGGAGCCAGGAACACTGGAGGCAGGAAAGTCAGTGTTCTGCCCCCCGAGGGAGGGTGAGCCCAGTGTCGCAGGGGGAGTGTGGGGGGGTTTGAGAGCTGAGGGCCGGGAGATAGAGGGCTGTGAAGGGTTGAGGGTGAGGGCTGGGCAGGATTACAGTTCCTCCTGCGTGGGGAGCGGGAGGGGTGCCAGGGGCGGGGGTGGGGGCGGGGAATGGCTAGAACCCCTCACAGTGACAGCACCTGGTGAGGAGGTGGAGGAGCCACGGGGACTCTCTCCCATCGGCTCTGACATCAGCGGCTGAGCTCTCCACTCACAGGCCGTCCTGGCAATTCCCGGATGCGTGTCTACACCCCACGGAAGCCAGCCCCGGTGTCTGCCGAGACCTGCTTTATTCACAATCACCTCCAGGCCCCAACCAGCTAAACACCCACCGCAGGAGGACGCGCTGCAGTGTGCTTCTGCAATGGAGTATGATAGCAACGAAAATGGACCAAGTGCAGCTGCACGTAACGCAAGCTAATGCGTGAACGCCACAGACACACGCGGAACCTGAGGAACCAGACACTAAGCCGCTCCCGGCCGGTCTATGGCACAATTCCAGAAAGCCCCAAGTGGCAGCATCTCAGTGTCAGCAGCCAGAGGGGCCAGCCTGGAGGAGGTGGCGGATCAGTGAACGAAGGGACTGATATTGGGGGGTGGGGGGCTGGCGCTGTGTACCCCGCGGTTCAGATCACACTGGTAACAGGGGAGGCCGGCGGGAGGTCCCTGCTGGGCTTGGTGGGGAGAGGAACAGGGACTCCCAATTGTGCATCCCGTTTCTGGAGTGACCCCGGGCTGTCCCAACACTGTCTCACCAGTGAGTAGAGAGGTGAGCATGGGGAGAAATCACGGAGCTCTGCCTGGAGGAGGCCACCTACTCCCAGCTGGCTCTGATATTTCTTTGCCTTGTAGAGAGCTTTCTTTGGGAGTAGGTGGCCTCCTCCAGGCAGAGCTCCGTGATTTCTTTGCCTTGTAGAGAGCTTTCTTTACCGTGCAGAGTGCTGACCCTCCCCGAGGCCCCCAACCCCACCCAGCATCTTCCCACAGACCCGATTCTGCCCTGGGGTGGCCTTCAGAACGGGTCCTACCCGCCTTCTCTACCAAAGAAGGGGCGCCTGAACCCCCTCCCCGGCCCCGCCCCCGTCCTTCCAGTGTCCCCTACGCTGCCCACCTGCCCCCCTTCTCATGTCCTTCAGCTGGTCACCTCTCCCATCACGGCAGCACCTGGCACTCAAGGTGCCCCCTCCCTCCTCCCGCCTTCCTCCCTCCTCCCGCCTCCCTCCCTCCCGGCTGCGGAACCGGTACCCAAGGTGCCGGCCCGCGGGGCCGCAGCGCCCAGGTGCCCGGTGCGGCCGCTCCACCTGGGGGCGCGGGGCCGGGGAGGGGCCGGGGCAGCGGGCGGGCGGCGGCGGAGGGAGGGGCCTGCGGCGGCGGCCCCCGCCCGCGCACCGGCTCGGCCCGGCTCCGGAGCGCAGCGCCGTGCGCGCCCCTCCCTCCGCCGCCGCCGCAGCCCGGCGCCCGCACCCAGCCCCGCCGCCGCCGGGCGCACGGACGCAGCGCGCCGCCCGCACGCCCGGAGGGATGCGCGCCCCGGCCCCGGCCCGCCCCCCGCCGCGCGCGCGTCTGACCGCGGCGCCCGCTCCGCTCCCCGCGCCCCTCCCGCCGCGATGCCCGCGCCCCGCGGCCCCGGCCCGCGCCCCTGCTAGGCGGCGGCATGGCCCGCGGCGCGGCCTCTGCGGACTGTGTGGCGCGGCGGGGCATGCCCAGGGCGCCGGGCGCGGCCTTCAATGGGCGAGGACGCGGACGCGCGGAAGATTAACCACGGCTTCCTGCGGGACCACGGCTACGTGACCGAAGGTAACTAGCGTGTCCGCGCCTCCGGCCGCGGCGTGGCGATGCCGTCGCACCGAGTGCCCTCCGAAGGTGTGCACCGCCTGTGTGTCTGTCCCCCCGCCCCATCCACCCACCGCCCCAACCACCTGCCCCCCGCCCGGGCCCGGGGAGGGGAGGGAGCCCCGGCGCGGCCCGCGCCTCCTCCGCGCCCGCCGGCGGCACCCCGAGGTGGCCCGGGCCCCGCTTTCAAACCGGCCGCCCTGCGGCGAAGCGGGTGCAGAAGCCCCGGGAGAGGGGCTGCTTAGAACCCCGGGTTCGCCCTGTGGGCCCTGCCCAAAGCCCGCGGAATTTTCCAGGCTGTCCGTCCGCTCCGGAGGCGGAGAGGGATGGGGTGGGGTGGGGGTGGGGGAGGCATCGCCTGATTCCGGGGAGGCTGCGCCCCGGCCCCTCCCTGTGCCTCCAGGGCAGGCCCAGGGCTGGGAGAAGGGCCGGCGTGGGGCTGGGCTTTTATTCCCGGTGAGTTTTACTGGGAGGAAGCAGCTGACCCCAAACTGTCAGATTAAAAAAAAAAAGTGGGACATGGCACCCCAAAAGGGCCCTCCCTGCCTCTGTCATCCCCCGAATGGGCCCTGGGAGCCGAGCCCAGTCCCGCCCGGAGGCCGGAGGGTGCGGAGGGCCCTGCCTCCTCCTCAGGCCAGTGACTGCCAAGGTCCCCGGAGCCGCCTCCCGCGCCCTGGGTGCGGGGCCGGGATGGCGGGGCCAGCGGAGGGCAGCTCCCGCAGCGGGCGCCGGGCCTCGCAGGGTTGGGATCGCCGCACCTTCCCGGCTGCAGGAGGGTGGGTCTCAGTGAGGGGGCCCGGTGGGTGCCCAGGGGGAGGGCGCGGGGCCTGGCCGAGGGCTGGTGCGTGGGCGCCTGGGCGGGAGCCTGTGCGGGTCCGCAGCGGTGACCGCCTCCCGGTGGTGTCCTTGCTGCCGGCTCCGCCGCCGGAAATGAAGCCGAGCCGGTAGCCCGAGCTCCGCGGAGGCTGGGGGAGCGCTGGGCCCGGCAGGGTGGGCTCAGGGCAGCCTGACCCGGGGGCAGAGGCTGGGTGTGTAACGGCTGTGGGTGCTGTGGGTGCCGTGGGGGGCGCTCCCCGGAAGAGAACCGTTGAGTCATGCTCTGCTGCCGGTGTGTGGGGAGAGGGAGCGGGTGCCCTTCAGGCTGGGTGGCCTGTGCCGCTGGCCTTGGGAGGTCCAGGAAGGACCTATGTGTGTCCTGGGTTCTCCCTGCTCCCGGCTGCGGAGAGGCCTCTGGGCTGCTGGCAGGTGCCCGGAGTCAGGCTCTGGCCCAGAGACAGGGATCTTGGCAGGTCCGGTCTGGCTTCCTGGAGGGAGCCCCGTGTCCCGGCTCCACACGGAGGGCAGGCAGCGCAGGGCTGAGAGGCTGAAAGGAAGAAGGCTCCCCGCCCCCCACCCCAGGGGACATTTGCAGACCCCGAGGCTCATCCATTCTGCCCTTCTCTTTCATAGCTCACCCCTCACAGGGAGGGCAAGGGGCAGGCACAGCGAGAGGAGACCTGAGGGTTTGTCATTCCTCTTCATTTATTCAGCAAATTGTTACTCTGTGCCGGTAACTTTAAAAAAAAAAATATATATATATATATAAATATATATATATATATATATTATCGATTTTTTAGATAGGAGGAGAGAGGGATAGAGAGCTAGAAACGTCGACGAGAGAGAAACATCGACCAGCTGCCTCTTGCACACCCCCTACCAGGGATGTGCCCGCAACCAATGTACATGCCCCTGACCGGGATCGAACCTGGGACCTTTCAGTCAGCAGACCGACGCTCTACCGCTGAGCCAAACCAGTTTCGGCTGTGCCGGTCACTTTTTTTTAGCCCAGGGGACTGGATAGAGATCTGCCCTTGGGTAGGGAGCCCATGTTCTAGAAGGAAGTCCTGTGATGTTAAAGACACCCCTGCCTCAGTTTCCCCATCTTTAAAACGGGAGTGGCTAGTGTCACCCTGCCTGCAGGTCCTTGGGTGTCTGCGAGGGTCAGGAGGGACGGTGGAGGAAGGAGCCACCTCGGATGATAGATGGATGACTAGCAGTGGGGGTATGCTGAGCTCCCATGGTGCTCTGGGGCCTCACACACAGCCACATGCTCCTTATCCCCATTTTACAGATGAAGAGACTGAGGCTTGGCCTTTGTCTGCACACCAGACTGAGCACCCATTGTTTGTAGGGTGTAAGGCTCAGGTGCCAGGGATGCAGAGGGAAGATCAGAAGCTCCTGCCTCAGGGAGGGCAGGGCCCAGGGGAGGAAGCAATAGCGAAACGATTAGAAATAGAAGGATAGGGGATCCCGGCCTCCCTGCGTGAAAGCCGACGCTCACACTTGCACCTCACTTGCGTTTTGTGCTCAGTGCACAGGGTCGTTACTGATCTGGATGTCAGAGGGACTTGTGTTCAGATTCCGCTTCTGCTGGTTCCCGGGCTGTGCAGCCTTGGGCCAGTCACTGAACCTCTCTGCGCTTCCCTTCCTCCCTCTGCAAAGGGAGAAGTGCTAACGGCCTCCAGGACAGCGATCATGCTGACACAGAGAGCACTCCGCTCAGCCTTGGGTCTGCTAGGAACATTGAATAAACACGCTGTTAAAATGTGAAAGTCTTGCCCAAACCGGCGTGGCTCAGAAGATAGAGCGTCTGCCTGCGGACTGAAAGGTCCCAGGTTCGATTCCGGTCAAGGGCACGTACTTTGGTTGTAGGCACATCCCCAGTAGGGGGTGTGCAAGAGGCAGCTGATCGATGATTCTCTCTCATTGATGTTTCTAACTCTCTATCCCTCTCCCTTCCTCTCTGTAAAATTCAATAAAATATATTTTAAAAAAATGTAAAATCTTGTTCCTGTAAGAACTCCGCAAGAAAATAGTGCATGCTGGGAGTTTAAAAAAACAACAACCAGGTGTGCGAATGCCTGTCCCACCGGGTCCTTCCATCCACAAATGCTCGGATCCCCTTCCTGTTCCGTCAGCAGGCCGCTTTCCTTGCTTCTAGGCTTGGCATGGGCTGTGTCCTCTCTCGGCACACCCCCTTCCCCCTGCTCTTCTCATCCTTTGGGGCTCAAGTTAAATTCCATCTTCAGGAGGAGGAGTCCTTCTTGAGTTTCTGAGTTTCTTGTAAAGTCTTAACTATTTCAGGAAAGGCTTAGGTTTGGCTAATCATTCACACCTTAGTGTGAATTAGTCAGAGCAGTGTTTACCTTTTTTTTTTGACGCTGGGTCTGGCTCTGGGCAGGCAGTGATGGACCAGCCACAGGATCTCACAGCCAGGGGAGGTGGCCCGGAAGGTGGCAGGTGGCTGGGCTGCTTTGGGAAGACGCCTGGCAGGGAAGGCAGTCTGGGGCCTGCTTTCTGCTGGGCCCACAGCTGTCCCTCCCTGCAGCGTCTCTGCCCTAAAACTCTGTTGTACGCACATGCCTCTTCCATGCACGGGCAGACGTGTTCCTGCGTCTCTAACCCTGTATCTTTGCCACCTTTGTGTGCGCCACGTGGCTTCAGAGTCATCGGTTTATCTCTGCAGAGTTGAGGGCAGACAGGGAGCACAGAGGAGGGAAGGGACTTGCTCAGGAACCGGCCAGGTCAGGAGGGGACACAGGCCGCTCTCCGCCCAGCGTGAGGCACGCTCTGCCGCCTGGTGTTGCCTTCCTGGTTTTGAATTGTGCCCTGGATAACGTCAGCTTTCTGCCCAGCCTGAGCCCCCCTGGCGAGGGGGTGCCGCCCTTGGGAAGCCCAGCCTGGGCTGGATTGGCACCTTGTGGTGGGTGTTATGGCTGATTTCCGTGCACTTAGTCCTCGCCCTCCGGAGAACAGGGGTGGTTCCCAGCAGGAGATGTGTGGCCATGGGTGCGGCCAGCGTGACCCCAGAGCACCCACTGGCTCCGGGACGGGCGAGGCAGCTAATGTGGGGGGTGGGCAGTAGAGCTCCCAGGAAGCCAGCCCCCTGGTGACAGCACGAAGCCCAGCAGCCCCGCGAGGCCGGGCAGAGGGAGAACCAGGGTGCAGGCCTCGCCTGGGACTCCGTGGATGAACCAGGCCTGATCTGCACCCACCTCAGGACCCGGTGCAGGGGCGGAAGCCAAGCTGCCGTTACATGTCACCGATGGCACCTCCCGCACAGCCTTCATGGGTGTCCAGCCCCCGAGGCCGCTGCCCGTCCCTCGCCCCCAGGATGGTGGCGTGAGCCGGAGGGTTTGAGTTGCTTTCTGTTGTGGGAACCGCCTCCCTCCCTTTTATTGGCTTCCCTCAGAGCCCCCAGCTCCGGTCTCCTGCCTGGGACTCGGGGCTGGGGTGTGCGGCCCGATGAGATACCCGGGGTCAGGGGTCAGGAGACCCGCGCCCATGGGTCTGGCCCCGGTCCCTGGTCCCTGGTCCCGGGCGGGCTGCTCAGTCTCTCCGGGCCTCAGTTTCCTCTCTGGTTGTTGCTTTGATCACTCGAAGGGAAGGATGTGCAATCGCGTGATGCTGCCGTCTCTCCTCCATGGACCCCCCACTCCCCCAAGGCTTTGAACAGCCTGGGTCCGGGACTCGCCCAGCCCGGGCCCGGCACAGCCAGCCTTTAGTCACTATCGCTCGCTCACAATGGTGTCTGTTCTTCAGGGTCAGAGTCAGCCTGGCCACCCAATGCCATCCCCACCCCAGAAACCTCAGCTAGGAGGGCACTTGCTTGTGCGGTGCCCTGGAGCCAGCCAGGGGTGTGGGGGGAGCCAGCTGAGCGGGTGCAGGAGAGCCAGCCCAGGGGTGTGGGGGAGCCAGCCCAGGGGTCGGGGGAGCCAGCCCAGGGGTGTGGGGAGCCAGCCCAGGGGTGTGGGGAGCCAGCCCAGGGGTGTGGGGAGCCAGCCCAGGGGTGTGTGGGGAGCCAGCCCAGGGGTGTGGGGGGAGCCAGTCCAGGGGTGGGGGGAGCCAGCCCAGGGGTGGGGGGAGCCAGCCCAGGGATGTGGGGGGATCCAGTCCAGGGGTGGGGGGAGCCAGCCCAGGGG